ATCTGTTGTGTCCACAGCGAGGAATCGAACTCCGTATTTTAGTGTCATGAGTTCATAGACTTGCCGCTATCTTACCTTACCGGGGGGGGGGAGAACTGTACGAACTACTATGTGTAATATTTTTTGTTGTTGTGACCACATCGTAACATATGTACTACATACTTTTTAAGCTTATATAACTCAGGTGGGAAATGTATTCTGAAATAGGTAGTTAAAAGAAATAGGATTTTAGAGAAATTACAACGAATTGCTTTTATATGCTAATAGATATTTTCTTAACGCCACTACTGGAGGTTTTTTTTTTGTTTTTTGTTTGAAGAAAAAGTAAAGAGAACGGACTAACAAACTCAAGGAGGAAAAATCTTCAAAAACGACCCGCCAGGGAGCGTTCGGTCGGAAGAAGCATGAAATCGTGAAGAAAAGAAGTTTCTGGAAGTTTCTAGAAGTTTCTAGTGATCATAACAGCTTTTCCGTCGTTAATCAAATTTGACAGACTCTTTTTGGTTCCACCCGAACCCCTCTGGCAACAAAGCAAGCGGCGGCTAGTGCTGGATTAGAGGCTGCATTACAGAAATGGAGTTAATAGACGGATTCTAAAAGGTAGACAAGTCACGAGCTACCTGCCTTTAAACGTGCTTGAATAATGGAGTAGCGTACGGAAACAAAGTAGGGAGAGACTTCGTGCAAGAAATTTAACTGCTTACAAAGTTATAGACACGACAAAGCTTTTTTGCTTTATATATATATATATTTACGTGTGTGTAGGCTTATATATATATATATATATTTACACATAAATGACAATGTTTGTGTACATAAAATGATTGCATATAATATTTTACGTTTGACGCGCAAAGATTGCATATGCATATGTACGTAGCACGTGCTCTTTGTCATACTACGAAATTCAATTAACGCGTTTTCTCACGAAATACAAAAAATATATTACTTTTTCTATCATCTCATCGTATTTTGGTGTTTATGAGATAAAGTGAAAAATAGCAACGTTTTTTTTTTATTATTGTTAGGCATGTTAAAATAGTGATACCCATTTTATAGGAAAAGATATATATATATATATCAGCTTGGACAAACAATGTATAACTATTGCACGGTCCAAGATCTAGGTAACACTAATATCACAGCTGGTCTGATGAGTACCGGTATTGTGTGAAAGGCCTCGTCGGCACCAGATATGGCAGATATAGTGTTGTTGACGTA